GCCCCTTGTGCTCACTCTCATCTAGCACCCATCAAAGCCTGACCAGGGAGTCAGTTGATAAGAAAATCTATCTACATTTCTCTTTCCAGAGCTCGCTCGGGCCTACCGATCTCACAGCAGTGTAGACCAACCTCTGTGATAGAGCGGTGACAGCAGTGTAACCTCTGTGGTAGACTACAAAGTCTACGAGCTACAGCAGCACCGCCACCTCCGCTGCTGCAGGACGCCACATTCTGTGAGGTTATGAGCCTTGGAGGGACAGTTGACAAACGTTTTTTGCTGCACTCTAAAATCCCCCTACCCCGGGCCTCGCTTTGCTGCTATTTTCTCGCAGATCAAGCGTACCCGCAATGGCATCGTGGAGGAAGTCACCCACGTTCACTATCCCATCGCACCACCTCCTCCTAAGTTGAAGTGCCTGTACTGCCCGAAGACCTTTGCCTCCGAACAAGGTCGATCGCTACACTGTAGTGCCGTGCACCCAGCTCCTCTTCGGCATCTTGGACGAGGGCTCAGGCGCGCCCTCGCGACGGGTGGGACCATGACGACTCCACCTTGGCACGGGTATTCGGGCAGGTGTTTTCATGTCGTCTTTCACCACTCAGAGGGAGGCGGGCACACCACTGCGGCGGGCCAGAAAATTTACGACGTGCGAGGGAGCTGTTCGTTTGAGCTGCAGCCAAGGACCCAAGGCGATGGTACATCAGACTTGCCAGATGACGGCCTTTTGTCGGACGACGAACTCACCAAGCGGAAGAAAAGACGAGGAGCTGAGAAGAGGATGCAGTACAGCAACAGGAAGAAGGCTGCGATGGTCACGGAGCTGCGAGAGCTGGAGGCCGATCACGCCGAAACGATCTGGCATGTCCACGGCGTGTCGTGCCAGCAGTTCCTGGCAAGGAAGACCGGCATTCCCCAACCCAACATCTGCAAGTGGAACGGTGACGCAGAGAAGCTGATCGCAGCCGCGGCCAATGACTTGAAGAAAGACCTTTTCAAGACTGGCAGGGAGAGGAGGTGGTTCGGAGACGCAGAGAAGAAGCTGCACTCGCTGCTGCTACAACGGCGCAAGAGGAAGCTCAGAGTGTCGACAGCCTGGATTGGAGTCAACGCGAGAAAGCTCGTGGTGGAAATGTATCCGGACGACCCGCGTGCAAAGAACTTTTCAGCGTCGGACCGGTGGTGCAGGAAGTTCGCGAAGCGCCACCATCTCTCGAAACGAAGGCGCACAAACATGAAGAACAAGTCGGTGGAGGACCGTCTTCCGCAGATGAAGAGCTTCCACAGGAGGCTGCGCCAGCTGCTGCAGGAACAACCCGTTCGCCGGGCCGCTGCTGGTGGCGCCGCCGAGAACAACGGCGCTGCGATCGTTCCTGCGTAATCGCCTCTCTACGGGCGCTTCAGCCTGAATGCGTGTTTCAACCTCAACCAGGTTGGGCTCGCATTCGTCAACGACCTCGACTCGACATGGGACGAGACGGGAGCTTTGCGAGTGCAAATTGGGCAGCCGTTCCCTGGTCTTGAGAAGCGACAGTGCACCGTCAACTGTTGCGTCGGAGCTGGCGACGATTCGATGCGGACCGCGGTCATTTTCAGTGGCAATGGCAAAGTCTCGGCGGTGGAGAAGGCGGCGTAAGCCCCGGCGTGGAGGTGCTTTTCCATGAGATCGTGTGGATGGACGGCCCAACGTGCATGGCGTGGGTAAGAAACAGCTTCCTACGCAGAATCAAGGGGGAGGAAGGTGTCGTTCCGGAGTAGCAGTCTATCCTTTTCGCGGACAACCTGCACGGGCAGACAACGGGCGAGTTCAAGAAATTTCTTCACGGCGAGTGCAACACGCTGCTGCGGCTACTTCCTCCCAAGTTGACCGACGAACTCCAACCGGTCGATGCCGGCTATGGACGCCTCCTCAAAGTCGAAGTCGGTAACGAGCTGGATGAATTTCTTGGGCACGAGGAAAACCTTTGCCTGTGGGATACCAACAAGCTTTCAACTGGTGTAAGGCCAATCCTTTTCACGCGATTCATTGCAAGGGCGGTCGCGCGAATGGACGCTCGGCCTGGGTACCGTCATCGCCTGCTCGAGAAGACCGGACTGGCGATGACGGCAGACGGGTCGTTGGACGACCGCAGCACTCCGGAGGATGTAGTTAGGGGATACAACTTCATGGACGGGAGCACGAGCAGTGACGAGGAGGTGCCCGACCAGGATGATGAGGTCGGCGACGACGATGGGGAGGCGGGCGGTGACGAATCACGCTGCGACAGCGACGCAAGCGCAGATGATGATGGTAAGTTTTCGAGTCTAGGTCCGGTTTGTATTTCGCCTTTGCGCCTCGTTTTGCATGCACTGGTCGGGGGCTGTGAATTTGTTCAAACGCGCGTGTCTCACGCCGGCTGTTCTCGACAATTATTCTCACATCGCTTCATTTGCTAGGTGATGACCGCGGCGATGTTCAAGACCCCCTGTAACAGCTAGATAGCGACGATGACGTCGACTCNCGATTCATTGCAAGGGCGGTCGCGCGAATGGACGCTCGGCCTGGGTACCGTCATCGCCTGCTCGAGAAGACCGGACTGGCGATGACGGCAGACGGGTCGTTGGACGACCGCAGCACTCCGGAGGATGTAGTTAGGGGATACAACTTCATGGACGGGAGCACGAGCAGTGACGAGGAGGTGCCCGACCAGGATGATGAGGTCGGCGACGACGATGGGGAGGCGGGCGGTGACGAATCACGCTGCGACAGCGACGCAAGCGCAGATGATGATGGTAAGTTTTCGAGTCTAGGTCCGGTTTGTATTTCGCCTTTGCGCCTCGTTTTGCATGCACTGGTCGGGGGCTGTGAATTTGTTCAAACGCGCGTGTCTCACGCCGGCTGTTCTCGACAATTATTCTCACATCGCTTCATTTGCTAGGTGATGACCGCGGCGATGTTCAAGACCCCCTGTAACAGCTAGATAGCGACGATGACGTCGACTCCGACGATGACGTCGACTCCGACGATGACATCATCGCGATGGAGCTTCCGGTCGGATTTCGTCTTCAAGAGTCTCCTCCAGAAAAGCTGAATCGCGCATTGATTAAGCGTTGCGTGTTCTTGAGGCGTGGTATGGGGTGGTTCTTGGGGTAGATCAGCCGGGCAGCGCCCCCGCAAACTAGCCATACGTACGACTACCGCGTGGTTTCGGCGTACGATCAAAGAACCATCAGTGTGAAGATGCCTCTAGATGCATACGATGTAGACGAGGCGAACGCAGCCGTAGGAGCGTCAGCATTGATCGAGCTGATCGACGATTCGAATGAGCCGGCGGGGGGGTGTGAAGGTGAACAGCCACGCCGGCAGGGCAGTAGGGCGTGAACCCCCAACGTTCGCAACATTGAGCAACCGGGATAGAGCATACCAAGTTGTGACAACTTTACCAATCGATTTTGAAGGGCGTTCGGGATATACAGAGTATTTTGTCCGCACGCACATTAGCACAATGGCTTTGCGCTACTTTTTTTTCAGTTCGGTACCGCCGGGTGTCGTGCAAGCATGTTCCCCGCGGGTAGTGCAAAGCTTCGTGGCTGGAAAAGGATATTGGGATGATAAGAAATCATGCAATTTGCATGGTGGCGAAAAGATAGGAAATGGCGAAAATAAGAAATCGTGCAATTCTCGTCGGGGAAAAACGGAAATGCCGACATAAGAAATTCAGCTCACTATGGCTGCGGCAATAACATTTGAGCCTCTGCTGAAATAGGTGTTTCTTACGAGTGAGCCGGCACTGTCCTACTTGCCGCACGGCTGTTTTTGTTTATCTGCGGTCTGCGGTGTGCATTCTTTAATCATGTCTGTTTTCCGCATGCCACATGCGCTTGGAAACGCTCTTCGTACAAGGTTCCCAAAATTCTCTTCGCAAGGCGTGTCAGCGATGGCCGGAGTTTTGGTCGCCCACCCTCCTTCGGGACTGAGAAACCAGCCTTCATAATTAACTGTTTCCGATACGAATACAATACGTGGGTACAGTGGAATTCTACTATTGAGCATGCTCGATGGGGAGTTATCAGAATGCGGCCGACTGACCGTTCTATCCCCTGGCGTATTGCGGCTTCATCAGCACGGAGTCAGGGTCACAGGACTCATTTTCGCAGGGTCGTGAGGCAAGGAAGAAGTTTCGCAGGGACGTGCTCTTAGCAGGACTTGTTTTGCCAGTCTGTTCCCTGCCCCTTGTGCTCGCCTTCTTGGCGACCACCTGCAATGTTCGTTGAAGCAACCACAAGAAGAACGGACCATCGACGACATGTTTGTTCGAAATAGCAACACTTGTACTAGCTTCCTGGAAGAGCCACCAGGAGAACGGATGGTGCGAACATGGACCCGGGCGAATGTGAGCCCAACCGGAAGATGACGCCGGGAGAGCTGGCGGCGGACATGTTGATGAAGCTGATGAGGGAGGTGTACAGGCGAAGAATCAGGCGCGCGTACTCGCCCGTGATGCCGCCTCCTGTTGGGGAAGGGGGAACGGTCCACGCGACACCCCCTTTATGTGGTGGCTTGCAAAGTGAACGGGGCAGCAGCAGCAGCGGTAGCGCCGGCGCTCGCCCAGACCAAGGTGCACACCCAGTCGTTTCCATTGACTTTACGCCATTCTTCATCGTGCAATGATCGCCTCTCTCCCTAGAGTACAAATGCGACTTGTCTCATTTGTGCTCAACCGCCCTCCCTTCCGCTAGATCGAAACACATCATCTCTTCCTCCTAGATCAATCTGCCAAGGTATTTCAAATTGTCCACGCCCCATGGCCGTGCACGCAGGCGGGCGTGATACCCAAAAAAATCCCGTCGAGACTGTTTGGTACATCGCAAACAAGATTGCCCCCAAGAGTCTGCAGACGTTCTCAGGATAACGTTTTCGTTGTTCGTTTCAGAAACGGCCACTCCGACCGGTAAATGGGCTAAATACTCGTCCCGGGATGTACAACCACCGAGGAGGCCGTGACTTTGACCCGTTTCTGGCATTCTTGGAGGCTTGTGCGCCAGCTTCGCAGGGCTTATCGTCCGGCTGTTTCGTTGAAACGAAACCTTCGGCAAGAGCCTGCCAGTGGGGTAGTGGTTCCATTGACCATTCGCGTCGGTCACCGAGAACGCTCCCATCCGTTACAACGGTTGGTCGAAGCCATCTACCAAATGTATCATTTTGGTATAAGTTGGCCATGGTCATGCTAACAAAAATCATGCTTCACTCAAGAACGTGGGAAGCTCCTCATACGATGGATCGTCAAGTTTTTGAGAGTCTCAGCAGTGGCCTACTGCATGCCTCAGGTAGCAGCCCCAGAATTGGTCCATTCCATGGAAATGACAATATACGTCTTCCTGCATGCGTTCGACGAATAGAGAGTTTCACCATGCGCCCGCACGCAGCGTTCTCCCGAGTGTTCGTGGCTCCACGATAAAGCTGTCTCGAAACATGTGATTTGTCGGATAGCACTCCGAACCCTTAAGCGAAAGACCCTCAAAAATTGGCGAAACTTGACGTGTGTCTCTTCCACCAAAACCAGCCCACCCTGCTGAGAGACGTCTAAAATACAAGGTACCAGTGTGAAACTTGGGCAGCAAACGTCGTGCGCTGAACAGGCTGAACAGGGACAACAAACAAAGTGGTGCTCACGGCTGTACCCCCAGCGTGCCACAGAAAACTGTTCCCACGAGGGGATGGATACGTAGACTCTAGTTGTATATATTCTGCGGAGTGTATCAAGCTCGAGGAAACCACGAGAGACCTCAATCTCGGAGAGTCCCGAGCACCGTCCACGTAAGCAACACGGACGAGAATCCATCCCCCTAGATGTTGCACGTCAAAGCGACAGTGGCGACCACCACACAGCTTCCGCCTCAACAACAACATGCAACCGCCTAAAGGATCATATTAACCAGTTGTCTCTTGCCCAAGTCAATCTCCGTGCAGCAGCCAGGTTCTAGGTTCATCGATGTTGCTGTCAAAATAGGATGTTGGCATGCAGATAGTGGTTAGGTTGCGCAGCGTGAACGTTCCACCAACGCGCTCCCCGACGGGCACGGCAACAGGGCAAGGTCAAAAGCGTTACCCTTTTCACCGACCTCTTCCGAGTCACAGAGCCGCTTTTCCAAAGGTTGTCAGAATGCCTTGAACATATTTTCGAAAATTTGGAAGCGATTCCGAAAATTTGGGAGCAAAGTAGACTATTTCGAAAATATCAGCCATGGTCAAAACGGCCCTAACCACCACCTACGACGCGATCAATAGGAGCCCCTTGCACGCGGTAGCGATAACGTGGAACCGCGCGTGCCTAGCGCGTGCTGCGACAAAAGCTACTTCCTTTGAGCATGTTGATTCTCCTGCTCGGAGAGGCGTGAACGGCCACAGACATCAAGCACACGGCACGCACGCACGGAAATGTACACGAATACCTTCACAATACCACGCCGTCATAAAACCCCGCATCTCCTCCCATCACAAGCAAGCCATCATCAAGAACATAGTACATCAAGCGTAAAACGATTGCCCCTTGAAGATGAGCTGCAATTATAGCACAGCCCAAAGTCTAGCCAACCCTAGACAATACTACAGCAACTCACAGCACGGACGGCATAGGATCTTCACCGCCCTGTGCCAGAAATGCACTCACCAACACTACGCACATATGGACGACACTACAATTGACCAGTAGAAACACAAACAACCCACCAAACTCGCTGCCCTACGCGTGGCCAGAATACATGGTGCGTCTCAAACGCGGCTAGAATACACCACCACCGTCCTTGAAGATGAGCTGCAATGATAACACAGCCCAAAGTCTAGCCAACAGTAAACAATAGACTAATACTAGCTCACAGCACAGACGGCAGAGGATTTTCACCGCCCTGTGCCAGAAATGCACTCACCAACACTCGATTCGAAACGCACACATGGACGACACGACAATTGATCAGTAGAAACACAAACGACCCGCCAAACTCGCTGCCCTACGCGTGGCCTCTCAAACGCGGCTAGAATACACCACCACTGTTCGTTGCGTGGTGGTGGCCGACACGCCAGAGCAAGTGCGGGAGGTTTTCCCAAAACGACGGGTTGCATCAGATCACACGTATGCATCCACGCGTTCACCGCACATACATCCAACGGCAGGGGAACAAAGCAGGCCTCTCGCGCTTCAGGATAGTCGAAACACGTGCCGTGCGGTAGAGTAGCGTTCCCGCGCTTCTTCTGCTTATCCCCCCGTTTCAGATTACAGGAAAAAAGACGATTCGCGAAACGAATACCCTCGGCTTCGGCTCGAGCACACGCGGCTGGGGCTTCGCGCTCACGGTAGCGTGCTCCTGGTGCCGGCGGTTTCAAGCTGACGTCGCTCCATCCACCACCGCCGCCGACGCCTCCTGACGACGTTCAAATTCGGGAGGGGGAAGAATCCGGTTGTCATCAAGCTGATCCCGCGACAGTAGCAAGTGAGGACTTGGGAGCAGCGCCAGCACAGCAGCCACGTATCGACGTCAAAAAAGGAGAATCCAACAGCGGCAGCAAAACCAACATTATTTGCAAGGGAGCGACCACAGCCAACAAAAAAAATCACCATACAGTGAAAAGCTGTACCTTCCTGCTTCCGTCGTGTCTTGTGATAGATGCCCTCCCCTCTCCGTGCGCGGAGTTTGAAACCAGGCGGTCGGGCAGTATCGACAGCATGACCGGGATGAATACTACACCGTGGAAAAACTGTACAGGCAGGTGGCGTTAAGAAGAGAGGGAGGTGAAGTGAAGAAAGTCAGAGAACGGATGTCAAGTGTGCAGAAGGGAGTTTGAGAGAGATGGGTGCAATAGTCAAGCATGGGAGGAGAGGCGAAGCTTGCACACGAAAAAACGATCTTCGCATCTAGGCGTCCCCAAGTCATTACATTACACGCCGCACTTTTCCATACCATGATTGCCATGATGCCACAAAACATTATAATATACTACGAAGGAAACAAAAGCTCCTGTGTGGCCTTCCCCAAGTGTGCCCCTCGGCTGACACGGCAAAAAACATGTTCACCGAAAGGTGTGTACACAGGCCGCCACAATAGATGGGACGGGTCTACCCTCTGAAAGAAAGGAAACCCGTGATAATAGGTGTGGCATGCCACATTCTGATGGAGGGCAACAAAAATGTTGTATGCAAAGGCTGCGCGAAAACAACAGCAACGTACCCCGAAGGAAATGATGACGAGGAACATCTTGAAGAACACGCGGAAAATCACGTTGTTGGCGAACGCCAGGGGCATGATTCCCAAGAATGTTGTCGCCGCTCCTACCATAACCGACGGCCCGATCTCGCCCAGTGCTTCGGCGATTCGTGCGTCCTTCGGGATGCTCGGGTCCTGAAAACAGAATGGGGCGAGAGAAAGAGCAAAGCGGCGAGAGGGTGGGCGGGTTGGTGCCCAATGCCAAATGAATAGTTCGCAACCCCGTAAAACCGGGTTGAAGATGGGAAAGGAATACCGTGGTGTGGCGTCAGTGGTCGTGGCGCTTGGGTATGCGCTTAGGTATCGATCTGAAAGTTTTTGCAAACGTTTTTATGACCTAAAGTTCGATTGGTGCAAGCGCGGAGAAGGGTAGTCTCGTGGTTGGGTTATAGTGTTTGGGTTCTCGTCTGGATTATTGTCGCACATCTGGCAAGCCAGAGCCACGAAACTCACGAAACTTGTCACGAAACGTTATGAGCGAGGCTGCGTCTTGCGCTGTGAAGACGTAGACACCATTACTGACTTGTTGCACCAAGAGCGACGCCTCGTGGCGGTAGACGGCCTACCCGTCCTAGCATTTACCTGATGGAGGAAGTAGTGCACGATGTGGACCATGTAGTCCACGACCAACCCGACGGCCATGATCAGCTCTGGGGGGGTGAACGGCAGCAGCACCGAAGTAGATCCGATAGAATGGTAGGCACAACCAACAGCAGTACCAAGGTCAGTTTCAGTCTGCGGTCGAGAGATCGGAGAGCCCGCGCGATGATTACCCCAACACGAGTACTCCTACTTGCTTGCCATTGCGTTGTTCGTGCTCAATAGGCCAGTAGTGCGGGAACGAGTGGAGTGAACGTGTCGCGCGGGCGGGTTGTTTTTTCAACAGCAGCAGCAAAAACAGAAAACTTCAACATCAGCGGCAACCAATACTAAATCCAACGAGCGCGGGAGAGACCACAGGCGAACACTCACCAATCACAGTGATGCTGTTCACGTCCAAATTCCAGTGGTAGACGAAGCCCAGCAGTTCCACGTCGATCATCACCTGAGATAAAAAGAACGGCATTTGCAGCAACATTCCAAACATCAGTCTAGCCTTGACGTTTGATGATACCCAAGTGACCATGAAAACTAGGTGGTGGAAGACAAAGCTAGACTAACCCCCCAACCATTCGGAGTGGCTTCAAGCAAATGTTGTTCTCGTTGGAGCAAGAGCCCGTGGGATGACGATGACCCAAAACAACGTTGACTCCGAGACCCTATAAAAATACATCGTGCTGTTTCACCCTCCCAACCCAAATAGTACGAGTCAGCCCGAGTCCTTTCGCACTCCAACCTCCAAGCCTACGACATCTCCCTCCGACTACCCACCAACGTGAGACAGACGAGGAGGACGATGGTGACCTTGCCCAGCACGAAAAGGCTCAGGGCGAGCACCGCCAACAAGGCGAGTCCGAAGCTCGACAGCAGCTCGTTGTAGATCACCACGAACTGCTCCGAAAAGACGAACACCTGTTGCAGCGGCCCGGTGGGGGTCACTGTCGATGTTAGGGCTGCTGGATTATGGTTGTTGACTGATGTCACTGGTTGATTGTGCATCACTATAGATCAGCGCTCACACACAGCACTTTTGACGAGTACGAGCTCCAATCCGTGGTCACACAGAAGGGTTCTTCCCCCTGAGGTTCTCTACCCTCCCATCCTGCGGCGCTTTGGCCTCGGTATTTTACGCCACAAGAGTTCAGCACTCCCTCCCTCAAAAGTGACACGAACTAGCCCCTTCCACAACCAGGAACGGAAGCGAGAGAACAACTCACAACGCGAGAAAAGCCTGCTTACGCCGGGATTCGGACCCCTGACCCTGGGTGCTAGAGTTTGCGAGGATATGAACTAGACTACCGGAGCGCACGGATGTCACTGCTCTCTTGGAGAATACTGGTTACAGTAGTAGGAAAGAAGTGGACACGACCTCTTCCCCTATGCTCATGAGACATGTTTCGATAGAAGAATCTGAGCAGATTGGTTATTGGCCTCGCCCTATGTTTCCGTGCTATTTTCGCACACTACCGTGCACACGGTCAATACGACATTCACCCATTGCACAACCCGCGGCACGTACCCCGGAGTATGCGAACGGCTGAGGGTCGAGCGTTGATTGGTCGGCGACGTCTCTCGTATCCCTGAGGGCGTCCACGTTGTTCTCTGTGTCCACGAGGTTGACCAGATACATATCCGATCGACTTATCTGCGATACAGGGGGGCGCAACACGCCAGACAAATCCAGGGGAGGAGGGGGGAGATTGTCATACGCAGGTCTGCAACCCGAATGGATGCTCCCATCACACAAGCTTTGAGCGGCGGCTTTGCACGTCAACTCTTGGCAAGGATAAAAACAACAACGTCGAGACGTGCTAATGTAAGTACTCTTGTGCCCAAGTTGGACCCATTGTAGTTAGCGTCGACGGCGGCGGTCTCCCATGTTCAGATGCATGCAGACAGGTGCTAGAAATACCAGAGCTTCTGTTTCTTCCCCCATCTCACAGGCTCTCGATATCATCGGCAAGCACAAGAAGCATACACACCGGGAGAACCAGCGGCGGTGAACAGACAACTTTTTGCCCGCCCTAATGCAGCCTCACAGAGCCGGTAGTACTGTACCTTGATGAGTCCCTCGTCGTCGAAGATCACGTCTGGCACGAATCTGGCGTTGTCTTCGTCAGCCAGGAAGGCGGAGAGGGCGGTGTAGAAGGTATCTCGATCGTTGTACACCGGGTAGCCCCCAGACGTACCCACGTTCGCACTGTCGGTGGCAAAGTGATACAGACGTGAGGATCAAAGGCGGCAGAAGCCGGTTTTAGCTTTCGAGCATATGTTGCCACCGGTCGACTAACGACGAGTGCCTCGACCCATTCCCAACTCGGTCGCTAGCCTGTCGCTACACCCACCACCTCAAATCAATACCCCTCAACAGCAATGCGCTCGCCGCCGCCTCAACGTCAACAATTTTTTGCCCTTTCTTGTGCGTGAGCCGTGCCATTTGCTTCTTTACTGAAAAAATCCAAATTGTCAGCGTGAAGATTGGGGAGACACCAACTTTCGTTGTTCTGACCTCGGTAAGGTTCCGTGTGTGAATTACCCATTTAAGCCTCAGTTACTGACTTTGTAAACGTAACCAACGAACGTTCCGATGTTATTGATACACACACAAACACACCTGTAGGTGGTGTTGGCCTCTGCCCAGACGATGAAGGAGGCGAGCCACGAGTCCAGCGGTCCGTCGACATTCTTAGTCTCGATCATTTCCGCATCGACGGACTGCATTTCCGCCTGCGTGCGGTAAACCACAAAAAAACAAAATACCTTATATATATACTTCGAAGTAGCGTGTTTCAGGAGCCGAGCAGAATGAAAAACCGAATCCTCCTCTTCCCTCTCTTTGACAGATGAACTTTTCTAGTTCTTCGCTAACTGTTGGCTTTGCGGTGCTCGTGAATCGGGAGATCAACCCCCCTACTCTCACCTGAACCATAACGTCGGGATAGTCAACGTCCTGGGTGTAGACGTTCATCGGGACGTACCATTCTTGGATATCGAAGTCGTAAAACCTCGCCCGGTCCGTGTCTGTCGAGATATGGCAAACGGTACACCGGAATGGACCAAGTGAACGAGGTGACGGTTCTGCCGTTGTGCGGCACACGTAAGCGGCTGCAGCAAAATACACACACAAAACGCTTCGCAAGCACTGGGAGCCGGCGAAAAGAAACAGCGAAACAATCAAGAGCAACTGGTACACTGTAGGCGAGCACTCACATTCTATTGAGTAGTGGCCGTCTGGAGCAAGATCGAGGACGTCGAAGCCTTGCGTCGCCTTTGCAGGGGGCACCAAACCAAAATAAGCAGCAAACATCGACACAAACCAGGTCAAGTGATCGCCGCAGCAATTGGATTATCATGGTGATACAGTTTCTCACGACTCAGAAGAATGAACAGGACCAAAAAGCAATGAACAAACATGATCAACCTTCCCGCGAATTGCGATATTTGTCAAAGGGTTCCCAAAGGGTGCCACGGTTCGGTTGGGATACTCTTTTCGTTAGCTCGTGTGCTTCAAGCCAACACCGGCAGCAGCAAGCCAACACCGGAAGGAACACTCGGTCCATAGAACACATGACGTGTGGCGCGCATTTCGGACCCTTGGTTCACAAATGGTATCGAAGGTATGGCCCCAGCATACACAAAAGGGAAAAATACTGGATCCGTCGCAAACTGGGGCCTATTTCACCGATCAATCCATCACAGCGGTCGATGCTCAACACGCACAGTACCTGCGTGACGCCATAGATACCGGCGGCAAGAAGGGCTGCCGAGCCGAGTAGCGCCACGATCTTCCCCTTGGCTGACAGAAGGGAAGGGGCGTACTTGTCTTTCATTAACCTACGAATCACGTAAGAAGGACAACAATGCACGCATTGAGGAAAGCAAGCTTACAACGAGGGGCGGGGTGGGACTGGTGTTTCTTGCTGCCGACCATGTATTTTTAGTTGTTGAAGCTGCAGCGAGCACTAACGTATCCTGGGAGACGAGTCGCGTCAAAGAAGGCTCGCGTTCAGACTAATGTCCTCGACGCAAAGGTGAGAAACAGGACACAACATGCTGACGTGTCAGCAGAGCAATTAGCCGAAAGCTGTGTGCAACCAGCCGGCAGTGATAAAAGACGAGAGAAACAGTACACAGTTACGGGCGGCATGGCCAACTCAACACAACACAAGTCACGATTGGGGTCACGGGGAAAAAGCGGATATCCGAGACGAACCTTCCGATCGTCGATAGCTGGTGCACCTCAGCCTTGAGGTTGAGATCCCTTTGGCTGATGTTGGCGCCCCCGCCGTTGCTGGCAGGCAGCGTGACTCCTCTTTGGATACCCTCCTGAACCGAACGGAGGCGATGGGAGGAGGGAAGCCAAGGAAAGCGACACAAAGCAGGGAGGTCAGAACGCGAATTGTTCCTACGCACAGACTATCGATGTTGTAGAACGACGGGAGAAAAAAAACGAAGAACCTGCGTCCTGTGTGACCCCAGCTCATCCGCCAGCTACATAAGACGCATGTTGTATGCGCCGACTGTAGACTGGCCCCAGAAAAGATTTGACGAATACAGATACGTAGGATATGGGACGATGGCACCCGTCATCACGCTGGAACCAGGATCAGGAGAAGCGAGAAGTCGGAACAGACTTTGAACAAAAAATGTCGACGGCTCTATGTAAACCAGTCGGCTGCCCAACGTTCACCAGCCACCCACTAGGCGACGACAGACACACGCAGCCAGGGGGCTCCACAGATGGGCCCGCCACTCTGCTCACCCCTGAAAGGCCCAAGGCCATCTCCATATATCAATGCACGCCTACCTGCTGCTGCCGCTCTTGCTCCTGGAGATACTTCTTGCTGGTGAAGCAGCAGCACCAGTCGATCTTGCCGGCCTTTTGGCGGTTGGCGTCCATGGTCAGAAGCGCCACGAAAGCTGTCATCTGGACAAGAAGTAGGTCGGAGCGGGAACGGGACGCGGGCTCAAGAGTTAGACGTACGTACAATGACGATCCAACAAAAACCTTCGCCATACTAGCTCGACATTCCACATGAAGCACTTTGCGTGGGGGGGCAGAAAACAAGCATGGGGACAGACTGCTCGACATATTCGTTCATGGACGTACGAACCAAAAGTTGGTAGAAGCACGTGTGTTTCGTGCGTAGATCGCTAGTTCCGTACGGAAAAAATAAACAAATAAGAAATGATGAGGGAGAAGAAACGTCGTGATTGTTGACGCGGGCCGAGAGAAGACAAGCATGCTTGCACATACTCCATGAGAACTGTGCTTCCCACGGCACAGAATGTGTGGATCCCTACACGATTGTTCTTGCTTGCCTGGAGGAAGAAGTCAAACAAGATGGCAGTGGCGGCGTAGAGGCAGAAGTACTCCACCGCAGGAAGAGACGTCATGCTGCCCAGCAGGAAGGCGAAGAAGTTCGTCAGCGACGTGTCTGCGAAAAACAAAGAGCGGGAAAGCGACTCCAATTCATGAGGCAGGTCCAAAATCAACAACAAGCGGCGAATACGAGCGCCGTCGCACAAGTATTGAACACGCGGCATTCACGTTTGGGTATCGACACCCGTCAAAGAAGCACTGCCCACGCTTTGAGATATGTCTTGGGAACAACAAAGGAAGGCGGGATTGCTCTGGAGACCAAGTACACGCGCTTGGGGTAGCCGTACCATGATGTAGAACGCCGCAGGGAAATGTTTCTGCTTGTGGACAACTGTGCAAAGTCGAGGGCGGTCGCACCCCACCGTTGGAATAAAATACACGATCGTTGGAACATAACTACTTCATGCCAAATACACACAAGCAATTATGGCCACAATGGAGTCCAACTCACAGGTGACCGACACCCCGCAGCGCTTGACTCCGAGGGCAACCCTTTCCTCCACGGCAAGCGAGGGGTCGGTGTGGTCGTACGCTGCGACGATGACGAACTGTGGGCAGAGAGAGAGAGGGAGAGAGAGAGAGAGAGAGAGAGAGAGAGAGAGAGAGAGAGAGAGA